GTAGTGTGGTGCAGTGTAGTGTCGCGTACTAGCTCTAGTGTAGTGTAGTTTAGTGTAGGTGCAGTTGTAGCTGTAATTTGTGTAGTGTAGTCTACTGGGGTGTAGTGTAATGTAGTGTAGCGTAGTGTGATGTAATTAGTGTAGTGTAGCGTAGCGTAGCGTAGTGAAGTGTAGCGTAATGTGGTAGTTGTAATTGTAGTTGTAGTGTAGTGTAATGTAGTGTAGTATAGTGTGGTGTAGTGGTCGTAGTTGAAACTGCTACAAAACCCTCACGTTCTTGCTGATTTTTGACAAGGTGCACAATCTCTTGCGCTTCCACGCAAAACCACATCTGAACTTTCAAAAGTGGTCCAAGCATGTGGTGTTTTTTAACATGTTGACTTGGAAATATGCTTCGCGCCACAACGGCGTGCACCTTTTCGACATCTCAACTTCCAAAAGTGCTCCGATACAGGTGTGCTTTGCACATTTTGACTTGGAAATGTGCTTCGCGCCACAACGGCATGCAGTTTTTCATCTCTCATCTGGCCAGATGGCTCCGAACCCGCCTACTTTGCGACCCCCCGAAGCCACACACCATTGGAAAAACACAGTGTTTTGCGACTTTCCTACCTTTTTGCGCACCTGCATCTTCTTTCTTCTCACTCTTTCTCTTCTTTGATCTTCTCTCTTCTTCTCTTCTCCTCTCTGACTCTTCCCGCCTCTGCTTTTCCATCTGTCCATATTGTCGGAGGTTTGACTTCTAGACTTCCTTCGGACATATTTTATTGTTATTATACCGTATTTATTTGGCCGAAATCATCCCCACGAGGCTAAAATTTCCAAGTTGGTGAGTTGCTGCCATAATCAGCCAGGCACATGATATTACATGATACACGGACTGACCCGAGTTTGGTTGCGTATAGTTGCCGCAAAAATTCCTTCGATAAATGCATTTCCCTGTTCAAAACAATAATTTCGGAGTCTTTCCCATGTCAATGCAAGTTCGTACATGAACTATATAGTGGGTTCATGTTGTTTTTTCTGGGCGTTTCATTGTGGGCTGTGTTTTTTAAGTTTCTACTGCGCACATGTTGTTGCCTAAAAGATCATGCAGATCTGCGAGTTTCTATGTTTTGGATGCTGATTTCCTTCAACTTTGGGCCATGACGATGCACATTCAAAAATCACAGAATTGGATGATGTTTGAACAATTACAAAAACCCCTTTTAATCAAGGTAAAAACAGCGGTTTCTGATCAAGATTTCCCTTAAGGCAACCCAATGAAACATAGAAAAAGAAAAGTGCCAGCCAAGAACGTCTCCTCCGGAAGCCATGGGCCAGTTTTGTTTTCTTTTTGCATCTTTTTGCAGGCTAAAAAACCCAAAAATGGCAGGGGAGACAACGTCGACGACGACGCCGCTACGCCCGGTTTTTTTGGGGCCACATCCTTGTTTTTGCTCGACACCAAGAGAATGGCTCGAGATGCCAGAGAAATCATCTTGAGCCGTCTTCGATACCCTCTAGTAATCTGATTGGCGAAAAGCTGATCATTTCTCTTCAAATTTACTGAAGGTTTGAGCACTGGTGGATTTACTAGAGGGTAAATCAGAGGTCAACGAAATCTCAGTATCCACATCACCAGTTCATTTTGGAGTTTTCCATTTGACCAAAAAACGATTCGGAGCCGCATGTACGGGTCCACGACAAGTGGTTCGTTGCGCATCGGTCACGGAGTGGCTCGTAGACGTGAGCGGTTGTGCCCTTGAAGGGCTGCGATGGGCATTGAAAATGCGATAATGGGTATATATTGGAAATTTACCGGGTATTTCATGGCTATATAATTTGTAATTAGTTGTTGTCTTGTTTTTCATTATTAAATGACTAATAATTGCAATTGGTTGTATTTCTAGGTAAATCGAAACGAGCACCTTAATGATTTTGATGTTGTCCAATCGTGGTATTTGCGCGCCGTACGTTGTTTCAGGGCAAAGATTGGGAATGAGTTAGGCTATCCTGGCATCAGTTCAATGATTCATCAAATCTCAGGGTCGCTTGAGTCGGTGTGATTTGGGGCCCATCATGTTGGCAGGTGGGTTTGGGGGTAGCCCGGCCTATCTTTTGTGGGTAGCCTCAAGGGGTTTTGAGTTTCCACAACGGTGAAGGTGTTGTTACTTAAAGCGGCAAAATGCGTTGCTTCAACCAATTTCAAAATCTCGTTGGCCCATCTGCCGCGTCACCTTGAGTCCCCCGTTTCGGCTTCCTGGACTGCTTTCCGACGACCAAATCGGCGCGGCTGTGGATAGCTTGGTTTATGCTTGGTTTATTTGGTTCAGAATTATGTGTGTTTTTCCGCAACCCCCATATAATGATAGATATAATAGAAAAGTCTTTCCCGGATCTTACAGATGATATTCATTTTATATTTCCAGTTTTCCAAGTTCTTCATTTGCTTGGGGAGTTGCTATAGATGCTCTTGAACCACAGGGTAGTCTTGCAGATTTTCCATGCCAAGGAAACGCCCGTGTCATTTCCATGTCCAATTTTGGGGGGGTTCTACTGTTTGGCATTCAGAAGATCATAGATTTCAAAGGCATACGTCCTGTTTTTTGAATCAAATGGAGGTGCCTACCATATATAAGGCCTCTATAAGGGCTATGTAAGGCCTTATATGGTACTAACGTACCTCCATCAATTGGATCCTGGAATTCCCATTGATTTTATGTTGAATGTCTGTGGGTTTCTATTTTAGGACGTCGCCATAACGACAAACTCGCGGATTTTGGTGGATTTTGGTGGGGTAGCGTTTCGGAACCAAAATTTCACAGTTGTTTTAACCATTTAACCAGCGTTTATGTGCAAGTGTCCTGATCAAAATCATTCAATGCCCCATAAGCTTGCAGCGCTTGAGTTTGGATTTGGAAGTGGAGTTTTTGGAAACAATCGTAGCCGGTGAAATCTACAATGTTTGGAGATGTTCCTTTTTTCAATGGGAGATCTTAAGGATCCAATTGATGGAGGTACGTAAACGTACCATATTTCAGGCCATATTTTCTGGGGATATTCCCTGAAATTTAGGCCTCAAAATTAGGCCTTATGTATGGTAGATACCTCCAATCAATCGGTTCCTGAAATGGCCATTGATGTTGTTTTTGTTCACCTGTATCTCCTTAAATACATGGGTAGGTCCGCCACAATCTGTAGCAGCAAAGTAGCCCAAAAAACACAGCATTCCTACCTTGTCCAGACGTATCCATGTGACTGAAGGGCTATATCAGCCATCACCATCCTTGGTAGCATTTTTTAAGTACCGACCGACTACTATTCATCATAGCCATAGAAAATTATCCATGAAAGTAATGGCTTAGATATTGATTATTGCCATTGTCCATGGCAGATGGTTAGATAACCAGAGGGTAAATATGTTTGTTGTTCAGAAAAAGGACGTTAAACATCATTTACCATCTGGTTATTTAACATAGCCATGGAAAATCACAATTTTTAATAGGTAAACCATCTATAAATTGGTTTTTTCCATGGCTATGTTAAATAACCAGAGGATATCTACAAAAACCATTGGTTAAATGCCCAGCCGTCTTCGGCAGGTGGAAAACCAAGGCCGAACAGTTTACTGGCGCAGAAGTACTATGAGTCATGGAACTCAGCCAAGTTCCATTTCTGAAGTTCTCACAAAAACATATTGAGTTACTAGGGTCATTTGGCTATGGTCAAAATGAGGTGTACCCAAAAACAACTGGTGTGTTTGATGCATTTTCTCTTCAATCCCTTGAAGTTACTGGGGGGCCGGCACACAACCTGGCCTTTTATCTGGATTGAAGGTCAAGAACTTTGAAGGCAAAAAAAAAGATGGGGCCTTTATCACCAGAATGGTGCTATGCTATGGGGATATGTTTATGCCATGTTTACCGGATTTGTCGTGGGGTGAAACGTGGCTCAACTCGAAACCTTGGATTTAGATGGATTTAGTCATTTAGTGCAATGATTTTCCCATTGCAAGCTGCAGCTACGCCGATCAAACAGGTTACTCCCATCAAACGCCCTGAGTCTTGACCAAAATATGTGCCTATGAATGCAAGGCAAGCATGATGTATTATGTATTGATATTAAATTTATTGATTTCGCTGGTCTTTTTTTGAAGGTTAATTCAGTTAATTACTTGGCTATGACTTGCTACCACCTATCACATCCCATCACAATTATTAAATGATGATTCACGTTCCTCCGTTGCCCCTACCATTCACCCATCGGTTTTCCCGGAATATTCCCAGAACGCAAACTAACTAGTGGAAAGTGGAAAGGGGCATATAGATTAGTGATTTCCTAATAGTCCTCAATAATATAGAAAGGATGCTAATAGTCTATAATATTCTAGTATTCCTCAAGATGCTAATTCACAGTATAATCAAATATAGAGGAAACCACCGCAACCACCCGAGTAAATCTAGGGCTAAAACCTGTGAATGTAGATGGTTGAAACCATTTCCGGGACATTTGCGGACTTTTTTCCCGCAGCTGTTTTTTATTCCAGTCGGCTTTCAAGCTGGAGTTTGGGCTTGGTCGGAATGGCATTGCCAATCCCAAAGCTGGACATTCCACGCCTTGCCAGAGTTTAACGATTCAGGGACTGGTGAATTGCGAATTGTTCGGGAAACTTCAATCTATAAATGGCGCTATTTGCTAAGCAACTCTCAAAAATGCAGGGCATCTTTGCATATCTCGCGCATCTAAGATTGGTAGGAGTGTCACAGAGTATCCAACTGTTCCTACCTGAGCTCCTAGTGTTCTTTTTTTGGTGTTGAGATAGTGATGGAAGCCTGTAGGCAATCCATGGTTTAGGGGATGAGCCATAGGAAAATTCCAATTGCTGGTGGTTCCTTAAGTAAATGGTAGTAAATGTAATAAATGATGCCACATTGAATTGTGGACTTGTCACATTTGTCATACTCTGGGTGCAGAGCATGTGATCCTCAGGACCTTCACGCCAGAACCTTTGCGGACCCATGGTACTCCTGAGATACTTGGATGATCTTGGAGATGCTGCATTGCTGCAGATTGGGGTGACATATGGTGACATGAGCTTGGAAGGGTTGAGAAATCCAGAAATCAGGTGCGCTGCTGTGCTTTTCATGGCCATAAATTTTCAATCTGAAGCTAGAGCCAAAAGAAATCTCCTAAGTCGCGTGACATTTTTTTCGACCGCCATTTTGGTTCCAGGATAGAAGTATGAGCCGTTTTTGTGTAATTTTCACGGCCGTGGCCTTCCTGGCCTTCCCCGATGTCTTCCTTTTTCCAACTGAACGTCGCCGTCGCGTCAGTCGAGTCCCGCGGGCGGTTTCTGAAAATGACGCAGTGCCGCGACCGGAGCTTCCGACTCGTGGTGCAAGTTAATGCTTTCCATGGGTTTTTCATTGGGAAAGGGTTTAGGGATGTGTAGATTGTGTAGGCTTTTAGGCTTTTTCAAACCTGGCCTTCAGAAATCTCCTTAAAACTCCTGTGAAGACGCCCCATTTTGGGGATAGGCCCTGATTGATGGTTCCGGCTTCACCCCAACATGTTAGGAGGTAAAATTCACGCGTTTCTTTCCTAAAAGAAGCGGGTAAGTCATTGAAAAAATCCAATTGTAGCCTCTGGTAAACATACAAAAAACTATGGAAAATCACCATTTCTAATGGGTAAATCCACTATTGCTATGGCCATTTTCAATAGCTATGTTAAATTACCAGGGGGTAATCTCCATTCATCACCAAGTTGTTGGATTTCGATGGTGAGATCAACCCATCCTCCAACAGCTGTTTGCTGGCTAATATAACAATAGATTAGGGAAGTGCTAGCCATAAACTACACGTATTGATGCATAAAAAGATAGCTGATACTCAACATCACCCAACATAAGTAGTTTAATAGAATGTTTTTGTTGGTAAAGAATACCAAATACAATCTCAAATAGATAGATGGTTTGATGACAGATATGTGACTCAATGGATTGGCTTAAGGGAAAAATAACCGGAAACCATCGATTTTCCCATGAAATATGGGGGGCTTCCATGGGGTTCCTGCATTTTTTCCCACCAATCCATTGACATGTCCGTTTTTCGGATCCCCTTTCGCGCGTAGGAACTCCACGGAGCTCATGTGTCGTCAAGCCGCTGAGAGCGTCATGCGCGCCTATCGCGATGGCTATACCCGGCAGGCCGTGAGGTTGCGCTTGGATGCAGCGTATTCGGGACAGGAAGACCTGCGACTTGGGCAATTTTTGGGTGGTGATGTGGAAAATTGATGCACTGTGGGGCCCCGCAGTGATGTTTGTTGGTTTATAAACCCCATTAACTATAGTTATAAGTACCATAAACCATAGTTATTGGTGGTTTTGGTTGTGGAAAATTGATGATATTGATGTGTGTTTGGTGAAAATGGGTGCATATGCTATATATGACATCAACATGGGGATGGATGGGATGGTGCATCTTGTTTTTAGGGAAATTTCAGGTAGATGCAAGTGCCCCAATGGCATGATACGGGAACAGCAAGATGAGCAGATCCGCTTCAAAAGACGGGAAAAAGGGACTTCTCCCATGCCATTTGCGTCCAGCCAGCATAGATCTAGTTCTTGGGTCATTTCCATATTGGCTTAAAAATTCATACAGATGGATGCTCATCAACCCTCCCAAGTCATGTTTCTAGGTGAATGATACCAACCACCAGGACGCCACTCAGTGGTTAATACTTGAATTGAGCAGGAGCATGCGAGATTCTCCAACAAGAAATCTTCGAAAAACTAAAACGTCATAGAATAGCTTTACCTTGGAAACACATTCTGTCATACTCAAACCTTAGTCATCTCATTTAAGATTGAGTTGAATAGTTGAATTCGAACATGACGAAAAAATCGGATGTTTTCATCTCTGGTTGCGACCCTGGACGGTTAAACATGGTTAAACTCCGTTAGACCTCATTAGACCTCACCGTCTCAGGAAGGCGTTGCTGAAGGCGACTTTGCCCTTGGCCAAATCCTTTGCCACGAAGCTTTGGAACGGAGAAGCCCTCAGAGATCTCAAGACTTCCCTGGTGCCTTGGAGTGAAGGGAGTGAAGGCTTAACGTATCTTAGAATGTTTCTTGAAATACATATGGGGTTTTGCTGAAATGGGGCTATCCCCAAATCTCAATTTATAGATGGATTTTCCCTTATAAACCATCCATTTTGGGTATCCCCATTTATGGAAACCCCCATATATGGTGTGTATATACTGGAATTTTGATTAATTATGTCGATTGGAGGTACACCATTAGACAGAGAGACATGTCAATCTACAACAGATTGTGCTATCTATAGTTGAAAAAATGGGCACATTTCTTTTACAAACTCGCAGAGACAGAAAGCAAGAGAGAGAGAAAGAGATATGTATATAATATATATATACACACAATTGCCATATACATATGTGTATATATATATGTATATATATATGTGTATATATATAATATGTATATATATATACATATACACACTTCACTTGCTATCATTTATCCACCTGAACGGTCAGTGTATCGATCTGAGGTGGATGACGATGTCACGACCTTACTCTACAGATGCTCAGCTCAAAGATGTGCTTCGTGTCCACTCCCACCTGGGGAAGTGGCCATTTTGTGTGCGAGAAAACCAAACCCCGTAAGTCGGGTTTGTCTCAAAACGAATTACCCCAAAATCCCATGGAAAATCCCATGGCTTATCATGATTTATAATAATCTCTAGTTCCAAATGTCGTTTTGGGTAGCGAAAAGCTGCGCCTCTCGTTGTGTCCAGACGCAGGAGAGGCGGACAACGCGCTGATGGATGCAGCAGTACTCTACCTACCCTCGCGGGAGGCACCCTGCCAGATTATGGAGTCCATAAAAGGGTGGTATATAATGCGGGTAAAACCATGCCGTAAACCACCAATTTGGGAATGGTTTATACTATAAAAATGGTGATGACTGGGGGATGGTTTATGATTGTTTTACCCACATTACGCCAAAATGGATGGTTTATAATGGAAAATCTTATTAAAATTGATGATCTGGGGATACCCCCATTTCAGGAAACCTCCAGATCTACCGTCATTTATTCAATGACTTGACAAACTTTCACTGGCCGACTGAAGAAGATGATTAAGCACAAACAAGGATCCACAAATAATCTAAAAAGGCAGTTGCCTTGCGTATTTGCATATCCCATACTTATCACAATGATGATTTCTTAGATATTCCTTTGGTCGCTTTCATAAAATTCAATAAAAATCATGCAGACTTGCTGTGGGACTGCAAAGTAGCGACCTGGGAGTAGTGTTAGAAGAGGTCAACAATTAAAGGACACCATTTCTTGCCCTTTTCTATGTGTTTTGTTTGTTTTTGTTGGGAGTGTTTTGTGTTGTTTGTTTGGTTTTGCCTGCATTTTATTGGCAAACGTGGTGCGGTGACACTGACAAGCCAGGATGTCGAAAATCCTTTGCGATTTCGATCTTCAAGGGGAATTCCTACTAAATGCAAGTCATCAGTTCGGATTTCCTTGATTTTCTGATTTCTCGAAATGCTAAATGTCCAAGCATCTATGAGCCTTAACGCCACAAGATCTGATTATGACCTTAAGCAACAAAAATCTACACCCCAACAGGTTACGAGCCTGAAACCGCACAAATCTCCTGACCCTTTACACTCGTATGGCAGCAAAAATCTATGAACCTTCAATCACATAAATCTATGAACGTTGAGCCCCAAAACCTGTAAGTCTTACACTGCAAATGTCTATAAACATTAAACCCCGAAAATGATGAGCACAAATCGTAAAACATCGCAAATCTACCAAAAACAAATGAGCCTTGAACCCTAAACTTCCATGAGTCGTAACCCCCCCAAGCCGCTGAGAAAAACGCAGATCAGAGGTGTCCCATGATGGGGAGCCAAGAACTGTTCATCGTACAGTCTTACCTGTGGAGGGCCGTTTCCCTCTTCCATATGTTGACCTTTTTGATTTTATGTGGCCGCATTCTTCTCATTTGCTCTCATTGCATTTCACGTTGCTTCATTTTGTTTGATATTTTCTCACTTGAACCAGTTTGAAGTGTCTCATTGTTTCTCATAGTTTCTCCGTGTGTATTGAATTAGTTTTAAGCTCATTTTTTTGATCCAATGCATGTTTTATCCTTTCTCAGTTTGCTTCATCTTGTCTTAGATGTTAATAACTAATAGGTTCCCATCAAGACCTGCACTTTAGACCCTAGTGGATATTACGACCTTGTGGACCACCCGAAAATGATTGCCTTGCAGTCTTTCAACGGAAGCGTTGGATTTTTTTGTGTGTATAAAAACCTATATATCTATTTTCCAAATGACAGGATATCTCCCAAAAGATATGTTGCATGTAATCGGTTTTTCAAATTCCAATATTAAGCTCCTTTGTTTATCAATGTCAAGCCATTTTTGCCAACATCTGCCAATGTCCCCCTCTTTCTCACTCTCCGGCCTGAATTCTATTCGATATCTATTTGTACAAGTTCTTATCCAGTTGGGGACGGATCAAAATGCCGTATAACATGTAAATTGCCACATAAATCCGTATGATATGTGATATCATGATACTATTTGATACATTGATGAGTCAATCGTTTACTTGGATTCGATAACAAAATTTGAATTACAAATATCAAACTCAAAAAATGGAATGGATCAGGTTGAGGCTCCACTTCTCAACATTTTTCGGGTGGCGCGGCACAGGTAGTGACTTCACCGAAGTTCACCAACTTCTTCCAAAGTGCCTGGGGCGGTGATTTTTAGCTGATGTATGTTGATATGTTATTCAAAAGTTGTTGACAAGTTGGTGGCTGGATGTGACTGGTTTTCCATTTCCAGCCACTTGGGGCATCCTCAATGGTGAGTTGATCTGCTAACATGGCACCCCTAATATTTCATAGCCAAGCGTTAATCATTCCAACATCGTCGCCCCTCAGGTGGGGATGCCTTCGGATGAATCAACACATCAGAAACCCATCAGAATCCCGTTATCAATTGCGGCAATGTACAGTTGGACAAGCCCATTTCCATCCAAATGTCGCCAACCTCCAGATTCTCGTAGGCTTTCATGTGGTGAATGCCCATGGGTTTTGGAACAGACCATTCCCAAACAAGAAACACATATCGGGATACACAACCCATCCATGGCATAAGAACCATATTTTGTTGTACTCGGTATACTGGGCCTTTCCTTTGGTAGTTTTTTCATCAACATGTTCGGAAAACGCTACGACACAGTTTGTGACTTTAAAAATTAAGGGCAAAAATATGGATTTATCATAGTTGATCATCATTTTCCCATCATTTTTCCCATCATTTATCATGGTGACCATCATTTTTCCCATTTTTCCCATGGAATTGTCGACCTTTTCCAGGTATGGGTGACCGTTTGGTGGTGGTCACGAACACCGAAAACGCCGCCGCGGGGTGGAGAGTCGAAAATATGGGCGCCGATTTCTATGATGGCTCTGAAGCTTTGGTCAAGCGCTGGGCGCAAAGAATGGGTTGTAAAAAAACCAAGAAACCACATGAAATATCATGAAACGCAAGAAAAACATGATGGTTTATCAACGTTTATCTATGTTTATCATGGCTTATCAACGTTTATCTGTGTTTTTCTGTTTTTTTGCCAGAAATGTTGATGTATTTTGTTATGTACACCATTGTCCGATGCCAGTTGAAATAGCTGCAATGGTGAAGGGAAAAGTGACGAAACCGATGGATTTGGAGCTGTCAGCTTCATGCTCCGTCCGTGTGACGTGCAGATCAATGATGCACACAGTGGTGCTGTTTGAGATTGTTTCTGTGAGGTGCCATGTAAAACTTGATGGACACATCTGGAAGCCTCAGGTTTTTCGGTTTTTCATTCACACCTCAGGACTTGGGGCTGGAGGTATGCAAAGTTTTCCAACAGCAGAGCTACTACTACCAGCTGGTGCCCATCAATAACTGGCAGGTCACCTTTTTTCGGGCGTATCCTCATCCTTGGGAGCTGCTTGGCCGCAAAATTCTACAAATCTACATGAAAATATATGAAAATCATGAAGCCACGAAAGTTTTCCATGAATTGGGTATGGGTCCGCTTTAAGGCAAAAAACCAAGAACACCAATGTTGCTCATGTTCAATAGGACAGCATCGGACTGCATTCAACTTTGGGGTGCCTTATGCTGCCCAAATCATCCCAGCTCGGTATACCTTGACAAAAAGGTCCTGGTTGTCATGTCATGGCATGGTTGTCATGTCATCTTTTTTGAGGTCACCTCTTCAATACTCTCATAGCTTCTAGGCCTGCTGATTTCAGGTGATGTTCGCTGTATCCTGATGAAAAATCCTGCTAGCTGCGAAAGGAAAAAGCGATGTACATTGCATCCTGTCCGGTTTTATCCTCTCATAATACATATCCTATCCACATTTTGAACTTGACATGTACCTCCCTTGCCGCCATGGTCACGTCATATTTCATGCAACATCTTCGATCTAGTGTAAGCTAACATAAAAGATCGCATCTTCAAACGCAATGGCTGTCACGTCTACCATCACAGTCTCTAGTATAAAATCATGTTCTTTTTACTGGCGGGCACAACTTTCAACTGCAATGTCATGTCATGTACAATTTTGCATCTGCTAATGTTATCCCATGTACGCCACACATACAAGTTGTTAATGTCATGCCACATGTGTAAGTCACGAGGACAAAGTGCTCTTAGCAGGTTCGCTTCACCAAGTGGTTCGAGGAACACACGTTTTCCATCAGGTTAGCGGATTGGAGTGGAGCTTGATGTTTGCCCTTTTATTTGATTTTGACTGGTGGACACACCTTACCAGCTAAGAAAAATGAGGGGTATCTTCTCAGGTGCAGTTCCACTTAATAGATCTTAATAGTAAGATATAGTAAGTATACCATCGTAATTCTGGCGGTTATATTCTGATGTATGCTCCTAGAACCACCATGATTCTACTTTTTCTTCACCGCACCTGCACCTCTACAGCTTCGCCTCAGGTTATGGATCGAAGACTTAGAATTTAATCTGGTAAAGCTGGGCGAAAGTGAACGGAAACCCAGTTATGATCAGATCATGGCTTGGATGGAGGCTCGCGTTGGGTAGTTGGGTGCAACGTTGCGGGTATGGGGCTATTCATTCCTACGAAATGTCCTCAGTAGACCCCGACATGAACAGATGCAACACCAAAGGGTTTCTGGGAGAGTGTGGCTGTAATACTAAGGGGAGTGTTTTTGGTGAATTGACGTGAAAAGTCATGAGAACTAGAGTCAGAGGTGTTTTTTTGGCTTTTTAAAGTAGGAATTCAACCGTACTTTCACAGAATAGTGGGGTTGAACCAGTGGCAGTTGGGGTAACCATTATCGAAACCGCCACGAGTTGGGATATAAAGATGGAAAAATTGCTGAAACTCATCACTGTCTTAGCTGTGCCACGTTCATCCATTTTCTTTGCTTTGTTGATGCTTCGGCGATAAAATCGCGAGAAAAAATCTGCAATTCGGGAAGCTTGGGCTCTGAGGAGTGCGTGAATATATGAATTTAACTTGCAGCTGAGAATAATTGCGACGCACGGTCGCTGAAATCATGAGTTAAAAGGCAAAACAATGTGACACAACTAGCAGCAGCGTGCTTCCGCAAAGTTCAGTGTCCGTGAAAATGATCACCAGGGCGATCTCACGGCTTGCACCCCAACTGAAAACTCATGAAAATTCAGAAGTTTCACCCATGTCTGGTGTTAGTGTTCCGTAAATTCAACTGATTCATCGATTCCTGGCTTCATTTTTAAATGTGTTTGTTTTGCTTCCGGTGGTGTTACTTAAAGTAGGATAGCCCTAAGTATCCTAAATTTGATGGTTGAGAACGCCTTTTTTATGAAGTGTATCTATGTGTATCTATCTCTTTTACTCTTTTTTGCATTTTGTTTTACTTCTACGCGCTACGCTTCTCTACCATACAATACAGCTCGGCAATTTTCGAGAGCCGGGACAATCTCACCTCTCTCGTGATTTTTGATAGCAAGGGGAACCATCCCAAAATGAAAGACTTTGGTTGGACAGTTGGGCAGTGTTATATGGTGTTATATTTCTATTTTTTTCGCCGAGTCAGACATGAACCTTACCAAATTGTAGACATCTTGGTTCAATCATGAATGGTAAGCATCCGAAAATAACGGACAGCAACCATATTTAAGATATATCAGCAAGATGAATAGTGTTATAGTGTAAGTTCAGCTAAACAACTTTGGCGCATGCATAGTGGAAAGAAATTCCAAACATTTTTGGATCTATCCCAAAATTTGCCCATAATTTTCAAACTAATCCTCTTTCGCCACCGATTGTTGGAATAAATATTGGACCAGAAAATAGTGCACCCCAAAATCCAGTGCTTATCCTCAAGTGCCATCTTGGGGTGCAGCATGCTTCGAGGAAATCCTGCACAAAACGGCCAAACGTTTGATGGGAAAATATATGAACACGTCATTAGTTTCCTGTAGATGGATGATGATTGATGTTCATTCAAACCGTCCCATGTTCACATGAACAAGAAACGGATTGCTGCCCTGTGCTACACGTCCCATAAACAAGGCCTATGAAGAACGTGCCGGCGTGCAAGCTTTCCAGAAGCTGGACCAGCAATGGGATGATGTTTTCCATGGGTTGGTGACTGTTATGGTGTTGATTTTCATGTTTCCCACACTGCATCATTTTGCATCCATGTCTGCACATATTCTTACACCTTCACCTCACAAAAAAAAACATGTTTAAAAGATGTTGTTTCTTAAAGTCAGTTTGCTGTCTTTACCTGCGGTTGTTTTATCACAGTCAAGCTTTAGATTGATACCGCTGTTCCATGAAGTAGTATATTCTCTGTATGTCATCCCCTTTCCTTGTACATATCGATATTAAATTCAATTGTTTTCAGCTGGTAATATTGAATGTTCAAGACTTCCCCGGTCCCTGGTGAAGATTCGCCCCTCTATCTAGTTTCTAGATGCCCCGTCTCACATTTTCGGCGACGGAAATCAGATACGAACACGGTGAATACTTTATTGATGGATTGATAGCCAATCATGGGCATGTATTGGGTATATCAATCCATTGACAAACTGATGAAAACGATTCCATTGCAGAATTGGATAGATAGTACTGGCTTTTTTGCCATACATGGGCATGGATTTCCCAAACCAGATTTTGCATAATTTTGCCAGGTGTCAAGCTAAAGCATGTTAAGGTAAGTTAGCCAAACCACTTGGTTGAATAGTTTAGTCTTAGGTGGTTCTTATTTTACAAACAACCATCCGTAAATACTGAGCAAAAGAATTATGTGTGTAAAGACAAAGTAAGAACTCACGGGGTATGTGTTTTCCAAATATCTATATAGTTTTCGTTTAGGCAAACGGCCGACTTGTGTAATCGAAAATTGGGAAAGATGGGGAACGTCAAAATTTGGACCTTGGATATTAAGGTATGTTTTACATGCTGGGGCCCGAAAAGATCATGACTGCTTAATTTTTAGTAATTATGACCATGTTACGATATTCCCCCATCTTGATACAAGCCAATGTGTTCAAATGAGTTGTTTGGAGGCAGCACATCCAACGGTTTGAAACCTCTGCTCTCCAAGATGAAATATGACCCATATTCATGTCGGCTTGTGTAAAATGGGGCGTCGCAATTTTTTCACGATTTGGAAAGTCGCTTTTCTTAATTCAAAATCATTGAAACATCCAGGGGAAATGGGTCATACCCCATGTTCAATCAAACGTTGGTCCTGGTTTGGGCCCAGGAAAGTGGGCAAATTGCTGCGCGACAACCAAGAAAAATTGGATCCCAATGAAGCGGGGCTCGCTGTAGGGACCTAGTGCCGTGATGTCGCGTGGCCTGATGAACTGAAGACTTATGGGGATCAGATGATCAAACCCACGAAAAATACCATACTTTTCGGGGAATAAAACATGCTGAAATCAATGGCAAGGCCTATTTTTGAGGCCTATGTAAGGGGATATCCCCACAAAATATGGCCAAACATATGGTACTAACGTACCTCCATCAATTGGATCCTGAAATTCCCATTGATGAAAGGTCCAGTGAAAACTCGTTTGGTGGGACAGGCACCAAGGTGTTTAACAAAGAACGGAATTGCAGAGAACCAAATGAGCATTTAGATGCTTGACCCATCAAAACAAGAAATTAAGCCAATCTGGGATTTAAAAGATCTGGATTTAACCATATGACTGAACTCTAATCACAGAAATTTTAGCCAATCAAAATGGGACGATAACAAATAGTGATGGAGATTTCTTGGGAGTATCTCCAATAAATGGCCGCCAAAAAAAAACTACAAACTGTGTGAAATAAGAAGTTCTATCCGTGAAAATATCCCTAAGGTTATTTCCCGAGGGATCGGGATTGCTGGGCCCCCATGATTGGATTCTCTTAAAATCTGGTGACTCATGATGACATATCTGTCAGAAAATGTAGACAGCATGTTTTTGTTCCAGAATCGTGGGTTTGAGATTGTTTAGAAATTGAAATTGCTGGGCGTGACACAGTGCTTGGACTTGGTAAAACGCTGCTGAAATTGCTGAAACCAACTTATTAGCTTCATTTCGTCGGGCAAAGCGGAAACGAGAAAGTGCAAAGCTGCCTTTCTCCTGAAAGAATAGCCGAATAGCCGTGGCGGGTGCTTCTGCCATTCAAATCCGAAGTTGGTGTTTTTGACCCAGGAAAGCTGATTTGTTCTCTTCAAAAGTTCAAAATGTCCGAAAAATGTCCGAGAATTCCTTTCGAATTAGTGGTTGCCGGTAAAACTTGATGAAACGAAACGCTGCTGTTGGCAAAGTGGCACGAAGCGATGTCCGATTTTCTCACTTTTCCATCCCAGAGTTGATCGATGTCCTGTGGGATATTCGGCACAAGGCTTAAGTCATGGTATGTCATGGTGTTCAGCATGTGTTTACCGTTTACCCGTAATCAAACATGGTCGCGGGAAATCCCTTTTAAATATCTATGAATGAAGGTGTTGCATGGTAAAATATATTAAAATACGGTAAAATCATCTAGACTCCAGACATGGGGGATTGTCCATGGCCAACATGTACCATGATATTCATCATGTTCATCATGTCCATCGACATTCTCACCATGAGGAAAAGCTCTAGGAAATCATGTTCCCAATAATCTACAATCAGCACATATCAGCGCCCATTAAAACCTATCATGGTTATGTGTTTTACCCACATGTCATCAGTCCATCAGTCGTCATCCAGTCGTTACCTCACGAGATCACCCGGTTATCCCACAAGTCACTGAGACATGTTTCACCCCACGGATTTCCTGGCGTCCGGCAAAGCAGCATGACTGGAGGGTCAAGGGTGAAGCAAGGTATGGTTTAGACAAGCTGGCAACTTGGAATTTGGGCAGAATTCTCATCTTTAACATGCGTTTCTCCTTTTAGAGACCTCGACCTCTAATCAAAGGAAGTTTAGGGGGAGAAACTTCCGTGTTACGGACTTTTAGAATGTCAGGGAAAGAGTTAGTCAAAGAAAGAGTTAGTCAGGGAAAGAGTTAGTCAGGGAAAGAGTTAGTCAAAGAAAGAGTTAGCAAAGAAACAGTAGTCAGGGAAAGAGTTATCAAAGAAAGAGTTAGTCAAAGAAAGAGTTAGTCAAACAAAGAGTTAGTCAAAGAAACAGTTAGTCAGGGAAAGAGTTAGTCAAAGAAAGAGTTAGTGAGGGAAAGAATTAGCAAAGAAACAGTTAGTCAAAGAAAGAGTTGTCAAAGAAACAGTTAGTCAGGGAAAGAGTTAGTCAAAGAAAGAGTTAGTCAAAGAAAGAGTTAGTCAGGGGAAGAGTTAGTCAAAGAAAGAGTTAGTCAAACAAAGAGTTAGTCAAAGAA